GAGGTACAATTCGAAATTAGCATGGTACAATTAGATTCAGTGAGGTACAGTTCGAAAATACCATGGTACAATTAGTTTCAGTGAGGTACAATTCGAAAATACCATGGTATAGTCATTTGCTATAAGATCTGTTACAGTGAAATGTCAAATATTTAAATAAACAACATACCCATTCAAAATTCAAATAATGTGACACATTTTACGATGGAGACGGCTGACATTAACAATGTCAAAAGATGTCGCCATGAAATGAGAGTTAAAGCTGACAACTCATGCGTCATGTAAGCAATATGACAAAAAAGAATGTAAACAATGCATTGTTGTATTTTTTAAACTATCAAAATGAATAAATTTTAATAAATTACCTGAAAATAGTGAAAAAATAGTGATTCCTTTCATCGAATCAACTAAAGCCAATCAGATAAGTTCATTTATTGTTGTATTTTATTGATTTGTATCAAAGAATTGATTCTTTGTGATATTTCGTTTCAGGTTTGTTGGAATAGTAGCCGGGTAATTCAAATATTTCATTGCAATCGAGTCGACTGGACGCAGTATTTACAATTGTTTGTATATTGGCAACCGTTTTTCAATAACTCATCGAACAATCCTTTGGAATAAAATGGAACCGATTGGAGGTAATTTTATATATTTATTTAGCCAGTTTTTCATAAATTTTACTTAAAAATCTCGTTTAATTCATTATTTTTAGTATCCGAAAAATATTATCGATGTGATGACGAATTTGTCTATCAAAAATCTGGCGAAAATGCACAGACAATTTATTTGGACTGCATGAATGAACCAGGATGCATCGCTGGAGCGCGATTTTATAAAAAAGATCGTCGTGTTGAGAAGTTTGGAACGCATTCCGATGAAAAACCAAATGAAAGTGTCATCATGCGGATCCAGTTCGAAGCCTTCTTAAAGAAGCAAGCGCGTTCAGCTCAATATGCTGGTCAAAGTGTACTGAATTTGTATAAAGCTGCACTGGCCGTACAGTTCAAAGGAATTTGGCTCCCCAATGACCATAAAGCCTCGTTTTTGACAAAGTTGCGTCGCATCCGCAAGTACGAGGTGGAAAAGAAGGACAAAGCAAAAGTTCATCAAAATCGTGATGTTGTTTTGACCGTGGATGCAGCAACATCGCCTTTGACTGTGGATGCAACAACATCGCCATTCACACCAAATACGATTGCCCAAGCCACTGTTGTGCCAACAATTCCATCGCAAAGATCGCCTCATAAGAAAGTGGTTTCATCGGCATTGGCTTCGATCTCACTATACACCACACCAGTGGCAACATCAACCCGTGTTTTGAGATCGGCCACTCATTCTGTCGTCAATTCATTGCCATCTTCTTCGCCATCATCAAACGTGAAAAAACCATCTTCACGTGTGACGCAGTCAGTTGGCAATGGAAATGCTTTAAAAGCCACATTGAATCCGTCACCGCCACTGCAAAGTCGTACCAAATCTAAGTTGGTATCAAATGGTCAACGAACACCAAAAGTTCCAGCTTTGTCTCCATTCCAAGGAATGGCAAATGTAAGTATAAAAGGTCATATAATTTAATATTGGCGTTGGCTCTACTTGAATGATTTTTTTCAAATTGTTTCATAGAAATTTGAATATATGTTGTGGCATTGTTGTAATTTGAACTTTTCAATTCAATATTTTCAATTTTTGTAATGCTATTTTTTATCTTCATCATTTCATTGACAAAAGGCAACTCGTTCAAAGAAGAAGGCGGCTATTACGAAGGGCACTACGAAGAAGTCGGCCATCAAAATGAATGCTAGCAAACGAGCCAGTCGGACCAACAAAACAAAGACTGTGTGCTTTGCCAGTCAACTTGAGTTGTGCCGACGTTCGTTGATTTTTTCGCCAGCCAATGAATAAGCCGAAGCACAGCTTTGACAATGCTCCAGCTGAATAAAAATACGCTTAACCTAATGTTATGTTCGTCATCATGTCATTTTTTTCATTTTCTTTTTCGAATTTCAATAAAATTATTTTATTTCCGTGTACTGTTTGGTTTCCAAATGAAATCATTACACCTAAGTTTTTTTTTTAAATAAAAGTATGGTTTTTTTAAAATTGCATTTTAATTAGAGTTCAATTGAATGTTGATTAAAATAAATGGGACATTCCAAAATTACCAGAGAAAATCAGTGATCTTGCCGAAGTGAAATTTTCTGTTAAAGTCATTCTTTTGAAGCGATCAAAATATCATATAGCGATCCCATATTTACATTTTAAATTGATCCATAAAATATTTTTCTCCGACAATTTTGTTTTGATTTAATTAGAAGATATTATTTTTCTGATGCGATTTTAAAATACTGAATTTATTTGAAGCAATATTCAGGTTGCCGCTCAATTTGAATGAATTCCACAATTAATTAAACATTTAACAATCGGCTCAGAAAAATAATTTTTACTGACCAATTCAAAATTGGCCGAAAAAAATA